TAAAAATGAACAAAGAGGTGGGGCCTGTGAAGACGAGACTTAGGTGGATGACAGTTTGTGGCAAACATACACTCACCCACCTGTCATTCAAAGTGACCACGCCCTCAATTCTGCATAACTTTAAGCCTTAATAAAATGTAAACACGTGAATTATTTAAAAAATCACTCCTGTGCAGTTGTCATGAAGGAGGAAATTAGCTATAGAGACCAAAACTGTTTTTTGTACCAGAGTGTAAAAATGTTCATTTCTGCTGTAAAGTTGGGCATTTTAACATGGGAGTCTATGGAGATTGACTCGCTTTCGGAGCCAGCCTCAGTGGCCATTAAAGGAACTGCAGTTTTCAGCACTTCATTTTTCAGCCCTGGAGGTTGCTGCTTGGTTTTTAGTTTCTTTGCTCCCAGTTTTCTTTGTCAGTTCTTCTGCTTTCCTCCTGCTGAGTTTCCTCTAAAGATTCCTTGTGATTGTTCCTCAGCTTTATCTATCGTTTAGATGACTTTGGTTTGGATTTTCTAAGTTTTATGTTCCTGCATCTTCTTCAGTTTTTTCTTCAGCATTCTGTAAGTTTCTGGACTTTTGTGTTTATTAAAACTCCTTCTTTGCATTTACTTGCTTGTCTTGTCTGTGTTTGGGTCCAGTTACCGTTGACCCCTGACATCCATAAGAGTCTGGTATGATGGCTTGTAATATGGCAAGAAAACAAAACAAGGGCCTCTAGCATCATATTTTCATGACTGACGCTGCTTTCTATGGATGCATTGTATGGGTTCATTCTAAAGATGGAGTGGAGTGGAGTTTTTTCTGTTGATGGTCAGATCTGTCCTGGTCGAACCCACCAACAGCAACAGCTTTCCCAAATTTCAGTATCAATCTCCATTTCTTTTTAAATGCTTTCGGTTGTTTTTCCATTTCCATGAAAAGCAGTTGTAGGATCTTGCAGTTATGAACCTGTTTCATGTAGCAACACATTAACAAACAGAAATGGAAGCACATGGTTTCTTCCTCTCCAGTCACTGCATTTGTTAGACTCCCAGTAATGAGTACTGATGCTTTGTGCTAAATGAATAGTTTAAACGAAATTGGGAAATTGTTTTCTAACTGGTTCCACTGTGTCTAACTCCATATTTTATCTTACCCTTTCTGATCTGGATTATGAGAACACCTGTTACTGATTTCAGTTCACTGATGCAATATGTGAATGTAAAGTGGTTCAGTTTGTGTGAAGTGATGAGGAGTGGAGTGATGTAACAAAGTCAGATGAGAGTGATAAACAGCAGTTTCCTTTTCTGTGAGAAGAGCAAGTCCTCTGGTGTTTTTTGGTCATGGCTGAAGTCTTCCTGTTTCTTTGTCTGTGTTTAACCTTTATTTAAGGTAATTAAAAGCTAATTATTTACAATGCCAAAGGAGAGTTTAATTTGTCCTAAACAACAGGTTAGTTCTCACTGCTTCTTCTTATATTTTCTGACTCCTCCTCATCGCACACCAAGCATGCTTTTTTTCCTCTCAGACAAGAGGCAGGAAACTGAAGAACGACAGAGGCTTTAACCGAGAAACAGAAAGAAAGATTTATTTTTTTGTCATTGAGTCCTTCCACCCACTACACACATGCACAAAACCATAACAGTAGATGAATATGATAAAGCCTGAGCTCCTCTCTGAGCTGCTGTTCCAGTGGTTCCCTGAGTCTATCTGGTGGCAGCGTACACAACATTGGGCTCCAGCTCTCTCTGTGATGCAGGCCTGCGGTTTCTTTTTGGTTTGGCCTGGAAACTTAGAGTTGTGTAGTTCAGGTCATCTGAGCCCAAATTCTGTAAAAATATTGAGAGTCACGTAATGTATTACACACAGTGGAACTTTCATTTCTGCTAAAAGTCATTGAAACTGGTGGATTTGTATGGGGTTCTATTTGTGCCAAAACCTCTGGATGACACGTACAACAACAGAGTCAAACGACAGAGAGTGTAACATGATGACAAAAAATTTAGTTCAAAGTTGAACAGACAGACAAATGTGTTGTCACATGTTCAGTCAACAGTTTGCATGTGGACATAGTTTTGGCTAAAATGGATCCCTATAGATTTGTGGG